AGCCCAGGGAGGGAGAGGCGGAGGAGGGTAGTAGTCTCAGGAGGCTGTTTGGCGTCTTGTGGTGTGAGCTCTTTGCGCTCTTTTTTGCGTGAGGATTTTTGAGCTTGGTGACCTCCCCAGCCCGGGAAGACTCGTCGGGCTCCCGGTCGCCCAAGTCCTGGTAGCGAGCTCTCTGAGATGCTCGGTTCGTTCGGTCGGCAGGAAGAGCCCCCCAGTTGCGACTTCGTTTATGTTAGGAGACCAACGGGCATAGATCCCGTCTAGTTGGAGCGCCAAACAAGCGCTGTTGCGTGCCGGCCGTCGTTTCCCGTGCGGCCTGACCCGGGGGCGGAGTGCATGAGACTAACCAGCCGTATGCACCCGCCCCCCGCGCTGTGCTTCGGCCCTGGGCCCCCGGCTTTTCAGCCCACAGTGTAATCAACGTCATACATACATACATACATACATACATACATACATACATACATACATACATACATACATACATACATACATACATACATACATACATACATACATACATACATACATACATACATACATACATACATACATACATACATACATACATACATACATACATACATACATACATACATACATACATACATACATACATATATACATACATACATAACTCAGTGAGCAATGACCCACTTTGAATGATGTGGGTTCCGTCTGGAGTTTGTCGACGTCATCATGAAAGCATTTTATAGCATCCGAGTACGACACCTGCAGTACAGCAAAGTGTACGATCGGTCCGGCACTAGCTTGGGTGCGGATGGCATTGACGGGTGGTACTGCTGCTGCAGCTACCGCCGGTCACAACTGCCGTTGCTACTGCTACTATTACTGCTGCTGCTACTGATTCTGCTTGTGCTACTGCTGCTGGTCATCATATCGATGCTACTGCTGCGAATGACCTTAAGGTTAAAGTTTTTCCCTTTAACCTAACCACCAACCACCTAACCACCAACCGCCAAGTAAACTCACCTTGCGCATTGCGCCAATGGAAATGAGCACCCCCGAGCCGCCGTGAAAGTGCGGGTAGTCGCACTTGGTGGGGTAGTTGGGAGGAAAGGTCCAGGCCGCACTCTCGGGAGACCAAACACGGGGCTGGGTACAATTTAGGGCCTGATACGGTGGTTATACGCGGTGGTTGGGGTGGTTGGGGTGGTTAGGGGTAGGAGCAAGTGCCGCTTCCTCTTTCTCTCCTTCCCTGACCGCGCCCTCTCATATCCTCCAGAACCACCATAAACTAAACCTGTTCTTCTCCCTTTCTTTTTTTCCCGTTATTCTCTTTGCCCAAACCTACTGTTTTTCTTCATTTTTATTTTTCTTTCTTTTTCTTTACTTTTTCATTTATTTTTTGTGTTGGAAAGTAACGAATGGTGTGGTAATCTACCTCTCTAATTCACTTTACCTCTCTATCTCCAGTCACATTAAGAGTGAACTCGCACGCGAGCTCTGGAGAACACGGGCAGCCGGCGGGGGGCACTGGTGGCGGATGTAGCTCAGGGCCCGCAAAACCCGTCCGTAGCGCCTCCGCCACCGCCGCCGTCTTCGCCGCCATCGCCTCCGCACCTTCCGCCACCTTGACCGCCACCTCCGCCGCCACCTTCGCCGCATTCCTCGCCTTTACCGCCGCCTTTGCCTTCGCCTTCGCCGCCGTCGCTACCGCCTCCGCCGCCTCCGCCGCCTTCGCATCCGCTGCCTTGCCCACTGCCACAGCGGCATCTGCCGCCGCCTTCGCCGCTGCCTTTGCCCTCGCGTCCGCCTTCGCCTTCTCCAGCGTCAGTGCCATCGCCCTCTGTACCGCGCTGGTCGCATCTTTTGCCATCCTGCTAGCTGACGTGGCCATCTCCTTCCGCCACGCCGCCGCCGCCGCCTGGCGGAAATCGGTGCTGACGTGGCACGGCAGGCACCTGGGTGCCTCCATTAGGTATCGCTTTTTCTTGTGCCACAGGACATCTGGGGTTTTTGCGACGGGGAACACGTACGTGTGTGTGGAGTGTGTCTGTGTGTCTGTGTGTATGAGTATGTGTGTGGGAATGTGTGTGTGTGGGGGGGAGTGCGTGTGTGTATGTAGGTTACAAGTATCTGACCGGGCCTCTGACACTGGCCAGCCCCAACGGAAAGACCGCCTAAGCTGTCTCCAGCGGACGGGAGAGGGGCGCTAGAGGGGCCTCTGTCCCCGTATGGAGTGTGTGTGTGTTTGTGCGTGCGTGTGTGTGTAGAGTGGGAGTGTGTAGGGTGGGGGAAACTAGAAGTGGGCTGTCGGGGGTATTGCGTGCGAACACCAAGCCAAGGAAACAAAGGCAACCAACATAGGTAGGTGAGGATGACGTGGCAGGGCTTCCAGAGTGTACGGCACACCGCCTCATAACTTGACTCAACCCAGGCTTTGGTAGGTCGTGGCAATTAGCAATACTGATGGCACACAGTACGACAACACCGGTTCTTTGTCGTACCTGATATTACGTACGGCAAATTGGGGTCGTAGTCTCGCAGCAGCTCCTTGACTCCTTCTATGTAGAAAAGCGTGTCTGGCGTGTGTGTGTATGTGTGTATGTGTATGTGTGTATGTGTGCGTGTATGTGTGTGTATGTGGGGTGGGGGGAAGGGGGGGCCCCAGGTAGCGAGATGAGGTGGGTTGGTTGAGGCGGGGGGATCGGGGATGGGAATTACTGAGTTGTACGGGTGTGCAGTAGAGGATTCAAATCGTGTCGTACTTCCTAACCCGGAGCCCTCCCAATCATAATAATACCTGCTTCTCTCTGAGTGCACCCGCGTAGACGTGACATCTCCACCCCCATGCGGATCAGCTCATTTAAGCACATATACATACATACATGCATACATACACACATGCGTGCACTGCGTAAGGGCGTGTGTGTGTTACATGTCGATCCGCGTGTGCCGTACAATGCTCGTCTCTGTGGTCAGTGAACCTAAAACGCGCGCGGCAGAATGATGCGCGTGTATGTGGGTGTGTGTCTGTATGTATATATGTGCATATGTGTTTGCGTACGTATGTGTGCGCATATATGTGTATGGATGTCCCCCGCGTCCTTTGCTTCAAGCAAATTGTGTACAGGAACGCGACAAAACCCTTTCCTAGTCCCCACTGCCGTACCGTCATCTCCGTACAATAGCCACTTGTACGTCTCCCCCAGCGCCTGGTGCGCCAGCCACGGCGTAATTGCCACACGCGTATCACCCGGGTGCCGTACATCACGCCGATCTGGCCAGTACAAGTACGTCTCATTTAGCAGCCCTCCAAATCGTTCCTGAAGTTCTTGTACGGCATTTTTATCCTCAA